AAGCCGGCGTTCTGTATATGCTCAGCAAGGGTTTTGTCACCGTGCTGGATGCGTTCTACGTGGCCGAGGTGCAACGAGCGCAAACGGCCAATAAAAAAATTAAATTTGGGCGGTCCCGAAATGCTGGCGCCGGTGGGCACAGCGATGCGGAGAGTGAAGTGACGTTCAATCGGGCTGCAGGTGGCAAGACACAGCGCCTACCACACCACTGCCGGTAAGGTGGCTGCGTTTCTGAAGTACATGACGTGCAACTTCAAGGGCTGGGAGGCGCTGAGGGAAAAGATGAAGTGGGAGATCATTTACATCCAGCACGCTGAGAGCACGCTGATGACGGGAAGGCAGGATTGCCATGTCACGGAGGGATAAAAGGAAATGCCAGGACTTCAGGTTGCCAGCGACTTTTGGGAGAGAAGGGTGGAACAGTACCAGGTGCAGCTTGACACGGAGCTGGCTTTCCAGCTGGTTGTTGCTGCCAGCGAAGACCACTCAGGATAAGTGACAGGGGCGTGGGGTGTGTTTGGGAATCCGCCCTGCTTGTGTGTTGAGTTACATGGTGCTGTATGGCTTTGTGTCGTTTCAAAACATTCTTTTAGTGCGTTTCTTTCTTGGTGGGGAGGAAGGGCGGCGGCATGGCTGGGAGTGGGGGAGAGGCGAGTTGTATTATTATTGTGGTTGGTGTAGTGGGTGGGGTGGCAGCTTCCTCGTGTGTATTGCAGCGGGGGTGGGGTGCTTTGCTGAGAGAAGGCGGTGGGGTGAGTGTGCCACCCGCTGAGGCTAATCAGACGACAGATGGTTTTGTGTGGCTCCTCTGCTTGTTTTGCGGATGACTTGATTTTTAGCTTTCAGCGATGCCGCGTTGGGGAGCAGCGCGAGTGTTTTTTATTTTGAGTTCTTCCACGCCACACACACCCACTGCAACTGATGGTAATAATGACACCCTCCAATGCGGAAGGGAGTCGGGTGGTTGTGGGGCCCACCGAGCCAAACTGCGATCCCCCATTGTGTAACCTTCGCTTTTTAGGAGTGGGAGCCATATGGCCTCATCCAGAGGCATATTTTATAATTTTTTATTTTTTTGTTTCATGACATTTTCCGTGAGTCTTTTGGTCGGTTCCTTGCGCCGGTGGGTGCGGTGGGATCGATTGCCTTTTCGGGTGCTGGGAATTATTCTTTTCGTTGGGATTGGGCACGCAGCCGTGGCGCGGCGAGGGCGCATTTCACGGAGTGGTGAAGATGTCCCCTCGGTGGGAGAGGGAGGTGTGGCGGCGAGCTGTGTTTCTCGGCGCACCGATGGGTGAGAAACTGGCAGATGAAATAAAAGAACAGCCGGCAACGAACATGGGGAGAGAGTATGTGTATATATAATATATACACGTATTGTTGGAGCTGCGGGATTTCCGTTTGTCAAAGGAACTGGCGACGCGGCCTGTGATCGCAATCATACGGGCAGGATCTCTCTGTCGGCAAGGCACTGCCCCAACACAAGCAGCTGTCTGCAGCAGGCTGGCACCGGCGACGGTTGTGTGCGCTGCACGCAAGACCCTAAATGGGGCACCCCACCGAGGCCGCTGTATTGCTGCAGAAGGAATAGTACCCCTGCGCATGTGGGTTGGAAGTAAGGGGTGCTGTGGGTGTTGGCGGTGGAGGGCGGTTGGGCTGCAGGTTGCTGCGGCGGCGCCGGCACAGTGAGGGAGTTCGGTGAGTGCACAGCGAGGTGTATTTAATAAAATGGGGATACTTTCGTTGACGAGTTGTCGAGGGGGAAATTATTTGCGTGCGGCACGCTGCGAGTGCGCCAAATAACATACGTGGCGGGGGTGTGACGCCGTCGCGCCCCGAGTGCTGTTCAGCGTAAAGGAGGAGGATAACACGGTGTATTTTTGGCACCGGAAGGTGCGTCAGTGCCGGTTGGCGACGTCGTATGGAGGCGTACGTGCCGTGCGTGGTGGTTGAAGCGGTTTCTTGTTTTCCCCTGAGACTATTTGAGGTGCATCACTTCCACGAGCACCGCGGTGCGGCTGGGATGCGGGCTATTGCGTTTGGGTTTGTTGGTGGCGGTGCCGCTGCGAGAGTTTGTTTTTGTGGCCGCAGAAGGAAGGCATCTGCTGCGTGTGTCTTGTCGTGGTGGTGCTGCGTGCCCCGTTTATTTTGTATTGCTTTTATTGTTCTTTCAATTTCATTTTTGACGTTGCGCCCCACTCCTGCTGCAGTGCGCTGAGGGTGGTGGAGGTGGCGTTGGGGAGTTTGTGGGGGCCGTGATGGGAGGTCCCGCCGGCATGCGCACTGCGTGTTGCTGCTGGCGGGGTTTGAAGGGGCTGGGCGGGGGAGACGGTAAGCGATGTGTTTATGAATTTGTTTATTATTATTTTTGATTTATGCGGGTGCGTCCCACACTGCGGACTCTCCGTGCGGGTGCGTGTGGGTGTTTCTTTGGGCGGCAGCGAGTGTGTGATCGTGCAGCCCACGCGTTTGTCGGTGCGGCGTTTATTATGGATTGTCGCTGTTTTTTTGCGGTGAGCCCTACTGTGGGCGCCAGCGTTGACTATCGTTGTATTCCTTTTTTGTTTTTTCCCCGCGGTAAAGGTCTGCGCCACTACTACTACTGCTACTACTGCCACCACTAATAATGCCGCTGCTGATGTTCAAACGGAAGCAACACGGGCAGTTTATTCAGGCGATGTGCCAGCTACGCCGCAGCACGCCGTTTCTCCCACTGGCGGTGTTTTTGCTGCTGTTGGTGTGTTGTGCCGCTGGGTGCCTCGCCGTCGATTCCGCCCGGAAGCACCACTGCGGGTTTGACGAGATGATGGGGAGGTGGCCGCCGGCGACTGCGGTGGTGCGTGATGTGCCGCGCAGAGGACAGGGCGAGATGCAGGCGTACACCGTCGCCGCACAAGGCGTGGGGAGTGAGTGGGCCCCGATCCGCATCAAAGTGTCCGCGAAGGACATGTACGACTCGTCGAGGCACTGCACCGCAGAAAGGCCTTGGCGCCTGGTCAATGGCAACTGGCAGGAATGCACAGAGGACATGATGTTGACGGAAGCGAAGAAGGACATTCTTTTGAAGCAACTCCTCCCGGCCGCAATTAAGCTGCACGCTGAGCGTCTGTCCGTGAGGCCTGTGGAGTACCCCATCCCCATACCAGATAGTGGTCTAGGGCTGTGCACCGGTTTAACCATCCCTTCCTGGCACCACACGATCGGCGTGAGCGGCGCCGACCTGATTCTCTACATCGACGCTCGCGTGAGTGGTGCGACCGTTGCATGGGCGTCTCGCTGCGTCACTCTGAAGGACGGACGCCCGTACGCTGGTGTCGTCAACTTCAACCTCCGGTACGTAAGAGCTACTCATGAAACTGTTCGTACTGCAGCGCACGAGATTGCGCACGTTCTTGGGTTTTCGCAGGAACGGTTTGTGAGGTTCAATATGCTCTCCCAGATCCCCAATGTGCGAGGGAAGAAGGAGGTGTGGGTGGTTTCCTCACCGAAGGTGAAGGAGCTGGCGAGGAGGTACTACAACTGCCCCACGCTTGAGGGCATGGAGCTGAACGAGGGGAATGGCGAGAAGCTCAACCTGAACCATTGGAAGAAACGCAGCGTATGGGACGAGTTGATGATTGGTCAGGCACCGGCCATTACTTACTCGGCATTCACGCTTGCGGCATTTGAGGACATGGGTGTGTACAAGGCTAACTACGACATGGCGGAGCCGTTGCGGTGGGGCAACAACTCTGGCTGCGGGCTGCTGGAAAATAAGTGCTTTACCAATGGCCGCACCGACTACCCTGACATGTTCTGTAAACAGCCGTCAAATCTGCAAGGGCTACTCTGCACGTATGACCGTCTTTCTCTGGGGACGTGTAACCTAAAGACTCACTCGCAGCCCATTGCACTGCAGTTTCAGTACTTTCATGACACCACATTGGGAAGTACAGTGTTGATGGACTACTGTCCGTATGTTAAGCGGCGTGAGGCGTCTGGGTGTACCAACGGCGATACTAAATATGTCCCTGGAAGCTTCATTGGCTCGAGCTCACGGTGCGTAAAGGGGGAGGGGCTTCTTTATGATTACCAAGAGATTGGCGATGTGTGTGTGAACACGCAGTGCAGTGGGGGTAAGCTGAGGGTGCAGTTCCTTGGCGACGACACGTGGTACGACTGCAATGAAGGCGAGACGGTCACGCCGTCAGGGGGACAAATGGAGCGGGGGGAGCATCAGGTGCCCCACATATGCTGAGGTGTGCGCAGCCTTCCTCAACATCTCTGCCCTCCCAATACCAGTCGTTGCCCTGCCACTGGCGGAGGAGTTAAACCCTGCAAACACAAATGATGAATCAGGCGGCACTCATCCTGATCCTGGTGCCTCGCCCTCAACGTATCAATCGCGCAGTACCAGCCAGGAGCGCAACCCAACCGGCATGCGTGATGAGTCCAGTGCCTCGCCCTCAACGGATCAATCGCGCAGTACCAGCCAGGAGCGCAACCCAACCGGCATGCGTGATGAGTCCAGTGCCTCGCCCTCAACGGATCAATCGCGCAGTACCAGCCAGGAGCGCAACCCAACCAGTATGCGTGATGAGTCTAGTGCCTCGCCCTCAACGGATCAATCGCGCAGTACCAGCCAGGAGCGC